AGTCATTCTTGATCATGAATTGTAACCTGTTACTTTGCTAATAAACCCCATAACTGTAAGCATAGTCTGAATTCTGTGTAGCCACTGCAACTTATCAAACCCAGCAGAGAAAAAGAGTTCTGTGGGAAGGATGACTGGTGTCAGAATTGGTAAAAAGGTTTGAGGGTGGAGGTAATTCTAACCTCTACTTCACAGCAATTGGCCTTGGACTGTTGATGTCAATAATGATTTTCTTCCTCTCTTGTGAAGTTAGACAAAGAGGTCTGTTGCCCTCATACCACCAAATTTACACTTCTTTAAATCTGCAGTGCATCCTAGAACCACGAAGCATTGATGGACGAGGCGAAGAGGGGGTGCATTGGCAAATGTTGATGGCATGGGGAGTTCTCTTTGTGCTTAGATTCAAGTAGACTAAGAGTGTGTGACAGCACATCATCCAACAAACCGCCCTCCTTCCTGGGGTCAGTCTGGGCATTGAGCCCAGTGGGGCAGCACCAGCTGAGGCAGAACAAGGCAGCCAGCAATCTCCTCCAACATCACCACCAACCCAAACTGAGGAGCACAGAAAGGAAAGGCTAATTAAAGACCCACAATGAATACAATGTAGCTGTGAAAAAGAATGAGGAAGCTCTTTAGAAAGCAGTTTACAATGTCTGCCAAGATATGTACCTTTAAGGGAAAAGAAAGCACAGAATAGGTAGCTAGAGGAGGAGAGAACATCCACACAGATGCTCCCTGAACTACTTGGAGGCACACGCTGGAGTACACAGCTAGGTGGCTCAGGGCCAGGGATGGGACACATTTTCACTATACACTTCTTGGTACCTTTTGAAACTTACATCATGTGAATGTTTCCTCTAATTACAAAAAGAAAAGAAAATTTCCAAATAAATGAATAAATAACACCCATCCTGACGATGAATGTTCTTTGCTAGCAAGGCTCTTGGCACAATATATTACCCCTGTTGAAAGCAAGGTAAGGATTTAGGATTTTATTCACTCCTCAGCATTCATGGGGCATTTATCATGGGCCCTGAAGCTACAAGGATACCCTGCAAAAGACACGGATTCTTGAAATCACATCAGACAAAGAAATACATTTAGGTTATGATGGAGATTGCTTCATATCTACTGCAAAATCAAAAACTCACTGCTGTCAAGTTAGATGCAACTCAAAGCGACCCCTCCTTGGGTTTCCGAGAAGGTATCTCTATGGAAAGTAGATTGCCCAACCTTCCTTTCATGGAGTGGCTGGTGGGTTTGATGCGCCAGTCTTCTGGTTAGCAGTCAAATGCCTTAGGCACTACACCACCAGAGCTCCTCTACTGGGAAAGAATAGGTTATAAATTAAAGCCAAAAGATTGGTGTTGGTTCCACCAGTTCTTTGTAGGTGGAAAAACACAGGCATTTCCCCTTCTGTTTCAGTCAGATTCATGGAAAGAGAGTGAGATTCTCATCTCAGGAGTAAAGTTCAACCCATAATATCTGTATAGTTTGGGATGGAAAAGGTCTTTCTATTAAAGACAGAGTCAATTACACAAAAATCCCAGTTCAACTCTCTGTACTATCTACACAACTTTTTTGTAAATGTAAATATATTCTATAATTAAAAAAAAAAAACTTATTGAAAAAGTAAAAGGAAAAAAAATTCCAGTTACTGAAAGATAATACACACCAAGTTTTAAAAAAGGACAATTTCCAGCCTTAGAAGACACAGTGTTTATATCATATATAATAATCAATATATAAACCAATATAATAATTATAAGAGAAAATTATCTCATAGAAAAATAGGCAAGGAGTACCAATGGGTAGTTTACAATAAAATAATAATAAAAAACCCCACAAAAGACCAGTGATCATATGAATACATTCTCAATTTCACTGACAATCAGGAGGATGAAAATTAGAACTACTGGATGACATTTTCACTCACCAGATTGTCTAAAACTTAAAAACAAAACTGATAAAAACACAGTGTTAATGAGAATGGGGGGAAACCAGGTACTTTCACTCCCATTTGGTGGTGGTATTGATTGGCACAGTTTGTTTTCAGAAGCCAAATTTTAAATTTACATCCTTTGAGAATGCAATTCTACTTCAAGGAATTTATCCTACAGAAACACTTGCATAGATACCCAAAGTTTGTTTACACAGATATTCATTGGGTAAATATCCATAATTACAGGTTTGGTTGCAGGCACACTATACTATACAGTTATTAAAAAGAATGAGGTTCGTCTAAACAACAAACACATATAAAGTGGCCTAGCTGAAGAAAATGGGGAATAGGGGCTGGATGGCTCAGGGCCTTGGAGACCAAGCCAAGGCTCAGCCACATAGGCCATGGGGAGCCAGGCAAGGCAGAGGTACAATGGTTGATGGTCGTATGTATCCACAGAGTGTGCTGACTTTCTGAGGAGGAGGAAGAGACAGAATGTCACTGCCATCATCTAGGTGAGAGATGACAAAATGAAAGGGGGCAGGGGGCAGGAAGGAGATGATTAATCAAAGGTGACCCAGACAAGGTATCTGCTTTCACAGAGGTGACAAGCAGAGGCAATCATAAATAAGGAGTTAGGATTTAGGAGTCTGAAGGCAGAATGGACAAAATTTAGGGATCAACTGAGGTAAGGAGGTGGGGGATGGAGAAACCTACCAGACTATTTCTAATTTAGGCAATGGAGTGGATAAGCTCTTTGAGGCGGGAGCATGGGATCTGAAGGCAGAGGTCAACATCTTCAGATCAAATGGGAAGAAGTTCCAGGTGTCTGGGCTCTGTGGGCTTTGAGTGCTCTAGTACTTCCAGAAGCCCAATTCTTTCAAATATTACAGAGCAAAAACTTCCCTTGCAGACTGTGAAGAGGCCTCTTCTGTTTCAAGCAGATTCATGGTAGACACTGAACTTCCCACCTTAGGACTGAAGTTCAGCTGAGGATGACTACACTTGAAGAGTACACATTCATTACTGAAGAAGAAAAACAAAGTAGGAGGTCTCACATTGCCGGATCTCAAAACCTACTATACAGCCACAGTAGTCAAAACTGCCTGATACTGGTTCAATGACAGATACATAGACCAATGGAATAGAATTGAGAACCCAGATATAGATCCATCGACCTATAGTCAGCTGATCTTTGACAAAGGCCCCAAATCCATTAAATGGGGAAGAGAACGTTTGTTTAATAAATGGTGCTGGCAAAACTGGAGATCCATTTGCAGAAAAATGAAGCAAGATCTGTACCTCACACCACACACAAAAACGAACTCCAGATGGATCAAAGACTTAAATGTGAAACCTAGAACTATACAGTTTCTCAAGGAAAATTTAGGCTCAAACTTAAGGGCCCTAATATATGGTATAAATAGACTATCAAGCATAATTCAAAATGCACCAACAGCAGAAGAGGAGCCAGATGATTGGGACCTTCTAAAAATTAAATTTTTATGTGCTTCCAAAGACTTCTCCAAAAGAGTCAAAAGAGAACCTACAGATTGGGAAAAAATATTTGGTAATAACATATCTGACAAGGGACTTATCTCTAGAATTTATAGAACACTCCAACACCTCAATAACAAAAAGACAAACAATCCAATTAAAAAATGGGCAGAAGACATGAATAGACACTTCACCAAGGAGGATATTCAAGCGGCCAACAAACATATGAAGCAATGCTCACGATCATTAGCTATTAGAGAGATGCAAATCAAAACAACAATGAGATACCATCTTGCTCCAGCACTAGTATCAAAGTTCAACAAGACAGAAAATAACAAATGCTGGCGAGGTTGTGGAGAGATTGGGACTCTCATACACTGCTGGTGGGACTGTAAAATGCTACAACCATTGTGGAAAGCAGTATGGCGATTCCTTCAAAAGTTGGAAATACAAATACCATTTGACCCAGCCATCCCATTACTAGGTATATACTCTAAAGAAGTGAGAGCCATAACAAGAACAGATATATGCACGCCGATGTTCATCGCAGCACTATTTACAATAGCCAAAACTTGGAAACAACCTAGATGTCCAACAACTGAGGAATGGATAACCAAACTTTGGTACATTCACACAATGGAATACTATGCAATGCTAAAGAATAATGTAGAATCTGCAAAACACCGCATAACGTGGATGAACTTGGAGGACATTATGCTGAGTGAAATAAGTCAGTCACAAAAGGACAAATGGGGGTAGATCAGGGGACACAATTCAGCTGAGATCTGAATGACAAGAAGGCACTTGACAACCAAAGACTGGGGAGAGAGCCACAAAGAAAGGAGGGTGGGGACAGCGCAGTCAGAAGTTAATTGTGCAAAGTAATTGTTCTTCAAATAAGACCATGTTTAGAAAATTAGGCGCTTTTTTTTTTTTCATTTGTAAAGAACTCATAGTTGTTGTTGTTATGTGCCATTGAGTTGGATCTGATTCAGAGGTGGTATCACTACGGATAGTAGATTGCCCAACCTTCCTTCCGAGGAGTGGCTGGTGGGTTTGAACCACCAGCCTTCTGGTTAGCAGTCAAGTACCTTAGGCACTATCCTACCAGAGCTCCCAAAGAACTCATTAGTGAGTTTTATTATTAATCCTTTCTCCTGGGTTTTAGGTGGGTGGGAGGTTTGCTGGGGCTGAGTGGGGAGGACTCTGGATCCCTCCAGAATAAATCCTATCACCAAACTAAAAACCAAACCTACTGCCATCGACTTGATTCCTACTCATAGCAACCCCCATTGGATTTCTGAGGCAGTAAATCTTTATCCAAGTAGATTGCCTAGTCTTTCTTCTGAGGAGTGGCCGGTGGGTTTGAACTGCCAATTTTCTGGTTAGCAGTCAGATGCCTTAGGCACTACGCCACCCTATCACAGGTGGGGTTTAATCCTGGTTTAATTCACGTGCCCCTGCAGATACACCTAGGGACACAGTCCGTGGACACTGGCCCACCCCAGACCCATGGGGATGAGTGTCAGAAGGAGGAGGCAGAAGTGGAAAAGTGACTCACCTGCTCCGTGCCGTCACGTCCAGGAAGAACTGCACGAGAGTCTGTAGGTTGTGATGATGGTCAGACACACAGCTCAGGGCGCAGCACAACTGCTGGAGCTGTGAGAATGAGGAGCATAGTGGTGAGTGGTGGGGCTGCAGGGAGGAAACCACCTTCCACTATAAACGTACACCCAGCCCCTTGTGGGAGAAATCCTAGAGAGTAAATGGGGTCTTGATCACGGAGGCCAGGCATGGAAATGAGTGTTCTGGGCACTCTGGGGATCTCCTAAGCAATGCCGCCCCATCAAGGGCACACTTGGGGCAATTTCCATCTCTTGTGACAAACTTATGTGAGGAGTTCTCAGGACATGATAGATGAGCTGAGGGGTTCTGGCTCTGACTCCAGAGCTAGGCAACGGGGCCCATGGTACCTTCCCAGGCCACTCCTGGATGTTCTCCAGTAGCACAATCAGGAGCTGCTGGAGATCTGTCTTGGGCACCAGGCGGAGCTTCACATCCAGGCCAGCTTGGCATAACAGCTCAATCAGGCTCAAGAGGTGGTCATCGGTATAGGCCCCTGGCTGGGCTAGGGCACACAGCATCAGGAACTGGAGAAAAGAGGCAGAAGAGGGCAAGGGGAACAGTGAGGCTAAAGGGAGAGAGGACTGCCTTCCTGGGAAATGGGGTCAGGGCAGGAGGGCTCAGCACTGATCCCTCCTTGACAATGCTGGGTAAGGGCTAAGATAAGCAAGCACCAATGCTTGGCTTCAAAACTCATTAAGTGGGTCCTCAGGTGGCAGACCCTGGCATGGAGAGTGGGTGCCTTCTGTAGAGTCAGGCCCATCAGCAGCAGGGACTGCAGTGATACTGAGCACACAGTAGGTTCTTGATGACAGTCACTGACTTAACTGTGGAATGGAGTCCCTGGGTGGTACAAACAGTTAATGTGCTTGGCTGTTAACTGAAAGGTTGGAGGTTCGAGTCCACCCAGAGGGTCCTTGGAAGAAAGGCCTGGAGGTCTACTTCTGAAAAATCAGCCACTAAAAATGCTATGGAGCACAGCTCTACTCTGACACACACGGGGTCACCATGAGTTGGAATTGACTCGGTAACTGGTTTTTAACTGTGGAATAGATCTGGCGTGTAAGTATAGCGAGACGACTAGGGTGACGCGGGGCATTTGACTAACCTTACAGATGTAGCTGAGGCTTATGTCCAAGGCTATCTCCTGGGGGGCAGTCTCCTGCTCACTCCAGCTGAGGCTGGCTTCACTTTGAAGCACTCTAAAGTAAGGTCAGAAACAAAAACAAAATATAAGGAAATAAGATGAGGTAGAAAAAAGTGGGAGAACTGAGGAGAGATGGAGGCCTACACTTGCTCAAGAACAGAGAACCCACTGATGACTCACTTCAGCCTAGAACACTGTTGCCCTGTGTATTAGTTACCTACTTCTGTCCTTGAAGAAGTGTGGCTGGAATGCTCCTTGTAAGTGAGAATGGCTAGACTTCATCTCACCTACTTTAGTCATGTTGTCAGAAGGGGCCATTCCCTGGAGAAGGATATTATGCTCGGTAAAGTAGAGGGGTCAGCAACAAAGGGGAAGACCCTCAACAAGATGGACTGACACAGTGGCTGCAATAATGGGCTTGAGGATAGCAAGGACTATGAGGATGGTGCGGGACTGGGAAATGTTTTGTTCTGTTGTACACAGGGTCACTATGAGTTGGAGCCAACTCGACAGAACCTAACAACAACTTCTGCATAACAAATTATCTCAATGTAGTGGCTTAAGACAACAAACATTTATTATCTCTAACAGTTTCTGAGGGCAAAGAACCCAACAGTGGCTTGGCTGGGTGGTTCTGGCTCTTTCAACCTCTCTGGTGAGGTTCTACCAAGGTGTTGGGCAGGGCCGCAGTCTTCTAAGGCTTCTGGATCTTCTTTCAAATTCACTCATGTGGTCACTGGCAGGCCTCCACTTCTTGCCACATGGGCCTCTCCACAGGTTTCAACATGGTAGCTGGCTTCCACTAAAGCTAGTGATATAAGGGAAAGAAGGAAAATGCCCAAGACAGGAGCCATAGTCTTTTATAACCTAATCTTGGAAGTGACATTTCATTACTTCTGCTGATTTCTATGGGCCACAAACTCAAGCCATAACTTAGTGTAGGAGGGAGCTACTCAATGGTGTGGAGATCACTGTGCAGGCCTCTTGAGGGCTGGCTCTCATACCCTGCTGTTCAAGCAGGCCTCTAGTTTTTTATTTCTGGGGCTTAGAAACCAGAAAATCATACTCCCAACCCTCCAAAAGGGTATTCCTCAAAAGAGTTCTCTTCCCTCTTTGTCCATATGGTTACGGTAGCTATTTGCATGCACACAATGGTTGTAGCTTACAGTGGAGTTAGTTTGGTCAGCAAGTACAAAATCCTCCAAAGTTGTCCCGTTGGAGCTCAGATATTGTGTACCTATTGTGCTCAGGTATTGATAAGCCCAACAAGGCCAGCTTTCTCCTAGTGATGAAACAGATCTAGCTGAATACCAAATGAAGTGAGAGGCCATGGTTTAAAGGAGATTTTAAAAATTCCCTCTTTAAAGACTAGTATCACACTCAGAGGAGCAAGATGCTCATACTGAGAGGCGTAAGTGGGAAACAGAGTCACACATCCCATCACACATGCTTCTCAAGCATATGCTTGCTGAATAGAAGCCTGAGCAGGGTCACCCTTGTTAAAATGTCTTCTCTGGCCAAAAGTCTATAGATGATTTGAAATATGTTAAGTGAGTTTATGGCAAGGATCCTTTGCTGTTCCACCCACTGCTTCACTCTTACAAACTAGCTAGTGATAACAACACTGTCCAACAATGGCCTCCATTGTGGCCATCCTGGCCATCACCATGAGAAAAGCACTATTTCTGCAGACTCCAGTGAAAACTCTCTGCTCTTATTTGTTGGTATTGGTGCTGCTTCTTACAGGAGGAGAAAGCCATCTTCTAGGCACTCAAGAGGTTGGTGCCAACAAACCAAAGTTGCTGAAGGGAGTCCTGAGGCTGGGCTTGGCCATTATTCCAGATTTTAGCCTTTACTAGGGCCAGAGAATGGGGAAGCCTGGTGTTTTAGTTATCTAGTGCTGCTATAACAGAAATACCACAAGTGAATGGCTTCAACAAACAGGAATCTATTCTCGTACAGTTTAGGAGGCTAGAAGTCTGTATTCAGAGTGCCAGGTCTAGGGGTTGGGTGAAGAAGGACCCTTGACCTCGGGCTTCAGTTCTGCCTCTTATTCCCACTGGAGCTGGAGGCTTCTTGTAACTCATGCAGCTGCTGGGTGCTGGGGCTGACCTACCCAAGGCCGGCAAGTAGAATGACACAATCCCAAGATCAGCAGGCAACATGGCAGACCACTTGTTGAAGTCCAGGAACTGGAGATGAAGACCTGCTCAAACGTAGGATTCAGATGTGCCAAAAAGCTAGAGACCTGCCTCAAAGCTTCCCAATATATACTAGAAGCAGGCATACCTGGAAGGCAATGATTTAGCTGCTCACAGCAGATTCCACCATGGAGTTGATGACACCACGTCCAATCTCATCATGGGGAATAACTGCATCCAACTGTCAAGCTACTCAAAGTCATGGCTCAGCCAAGTTGACACACAACCTTAACTACCCCAGCTGGCATTTCCCAGCCTGGATGGTACACATGGGACACACTGGGGGCCTGTGCCAGTATGTGAGGGAGAGCTCTGGTTTGCACCAGCCAGTGGAGGTGCACTGAGTATACGACACAGGCGGAAATGCTTTCATATTTCCCAAGGGAACCACAGAGTCGTCTTTGTGAATCTGCTAAAGAGAAATGGGCTTCCAGGCAGTTTGATGCTCCCAGATGGGGGAGGAGTGTTGGAAATGTGAGCTGGTAACACATCTTCTCTGAGTTGGGGAGGGGAAGTGTGGAGGTGACAAGAACCCTCCCCTCCTTGGGAAAGAATGCCAACCTTGATGGTCAGTGAGACTGAAGAGGGTAGTCACCCACCCTGCATCTCCCCGTGCGACTCCTCCTTAGGGGAACAGCAGGCAGTGGGTTACACTCTCACAGGCTACATAATGGGGTCCTCTATTCTCTGACTTTCCAAGGAATCACTTGACTGAAACATTGGCATCTGTGACTGCTATTCTGAGACTGAGCATCAGCTGATCCCTACGATTCCACCATTGCTCCCAGCAAGAGGCCACAGAGCACAGGAAATTCACATCCCAGCAGTTCCCTGCTCCCCTCCTGCACTCATCAGGTCAAGAATGAGTCGAAGGTTCTACCACTTGATTCTGCGAGCAAAGTGGCTTCATCCATATAATTTTCACTGACCCTTCCTCCTCCGCATAGGGCTGGATGAGTTGGGTTCCCAATCTGGTGGCCAGCATCTGGGAGCTTGAGTGTGGGCCTCAGCAACACCATTCTCCATTCACTAAGAAATCTTAAAAGGGGTGCACTGCTGACCTATAGAGTCCCTGGGTGGTGCAAAAAGTTAACACACTCAGCTGCAAAACAAAAGGTTGGAGGTTAGAGTCTACCCAGAGGAGCCTCAGAAAAAAGGCCTAGTAATCTATTTCTGAAAAACTGGCCTTTGAAAACCCTGTGACACACATGAAATTGACAGGAGTCAGAGCTGATTCAATGGCAACTGGTATGTTTGTTTGTTTAAGTGATCTATACCTCAGTTTTTATAATTGTTTTCACCAAGGGTTAAAAAACACAATAAACCTGGATAGAGAGGGAGAACAATGTGGAACAAAACTCAAAATCATTTGGAAAAAAAAAAGGGGGTGGGGGGACCAGGTTTGCTGATCTGATAGAGCCTGGTGGAACCACTGAGACTATGGCCCCTAGCTGCCCTTCAGGTCTGGAATTGAACCCACACCTGTGGCTTCCAGCCAAACAAAATACAGGCATATGAGTTGAACATGTACCTGAGGTAGATACACTCCTTGGAGAGAACAATCATGGGAGAAAGAAGGGCTGCTTATGCACAGGGAGACAGCTCAGGGGGCAGGAGTGCATGGAGGGATGGACACATGGAAGAGGTAATTACGGGGAGGAAGTGGGAGGGGAGCTGTTGCATTGTGGTAAATTGTAGTCAATGTCATGAGACAAAGTGTATGTGAACTGCTATATGAAAATGAATTTTCTCTGTAAATTTTCACCCAAATCACAATTAACAACAACAACAAAAAAACATAATAAAGTTATGATATGCATAGGGCACCAGACATTCTCAGAGTAAAGCTGGTGAGTAACCAAACCAAACTCATTGTCATGGAATTGACTCCGATTCATAGTGACCCCATAGGGTTTCCAAGGCTGTAAATCTTTACAGAAGCAGATTGCCTCATCTTTCCTCTGTGGAGCAGCTGGTAGGTTCCAGCCTTTTGGTTAGCAGCCAAAGGCCTTAACCACGCACCACCAGAGCTCCTTAAGTAAAGCTTTCAGCATCACCATAACTAAGAACAAAACAGCAGGAGCCACTGCTATTCTGGAGAAGCCCAGTGGCCACCACACTGGCTCCTGTTCTGTTGTACCAAACTGATCTGACAGCTAGGCTCTGCTCAGCCAAGGCCAATACAAGGAAAAGGAATTGATGCTGAGCCAATGAAGGAGAGAGAGAACTGAGTTTTTCCCCCGGATCAAATTACACTGTTCCAAGACAGCCAGTAAGCAGCCATCCTCACGCTTGATGGTATGCTCTTTCCATGTATTAATTGCCATTTATTTAACTGTTGGCCTCTGCACCAGGCAACAGCACCAGCAGTCTATAATGGCCAGTCCTGCTTATCTTTTGACCAGGACTCTCCAGCTGGGCTATGAATCAGGAAGCGGCATGGGGGATGGGGGATCAGCCAGAGCTATGGAGGGACCTTCCCAACTCTTCCCAGATGAGTTGGGAACACCAACAAGTGTGCTCTGTGTAGAGGTGAGGGCACACATCAAGCCCCTCCCCCAAGATGAAGCTCCTGCCCTTGCTTTTGATGCAGTGTTCATAGGTGTTGCCTCCTCTTCTGGCCTTTCTCCCCCAAACACCTTCCTAATTTCTCCCTCCCAGCTTCACTCCTGAGCAGAGGCCACTTTATTTTCAACAAGGTGGACATTAACCAGTCCACACAGTCCAGTTGCAGAAGTGAAGTTGTATCTTTTTTGTTGTTGTTGTTTCCCCAATTCAACTTTTTATAGGTATACAATTTATTGACAGCATTTAACAATAATCAGACTGGCTCAATGTGATTTTCCCACCCTTATAAACCAAAATTCACGGTTCCATACGCAATAGCTCACCCTTCTCCCCTCCCTCTTGCCCTTGGTAACCACAAACAAACTTTACTCTGTATATATTTGAGAAGGGCTGTATCTTCCCAAAAGAAAATCTTAAAGTCCTAGATGAGAAATGACATGGGATTTTAAGGAAAATCTGACATTAAAAGCAAATAGTGAAATAATTGTTTCTCTCATAGCAATCAGAAAGACTACAAGTATTTGGGACCACACACAGACTTCTCAGCCCCCATTTCCAGCCTCAGCCATTACAAGGCTCTTTGTATGCGCTGGAGGAGCCCCCAGAAGCACCTGCTCTGCCAGATGACCTCAAGTTGGAGACATCCCTGGAAGCTGACAGAAAAGACAGAAGTGTCTGACATGGAACCTGGCCTAGGACTAGTCTGAGTTTTATCAGAAAAGAGGATGATGAAAAGTGTGGAGGGAATGCAGCCCTCAAGTTTCTCTTATGGCCCTCACATTCATGAAAGATGCTGGAACTTTCTGAATACCCCTGAAGAGTTAGTTGTCCTCTAATCTCGTGAAACCCAGAACTTCCCTAAGTGTATCAACCACGCAGCAACCCAGGAAACCTGTCCCCACCACCAAGAATACTTTCCACCTACCCCAAGGAAGATGCCTGTGGGGTATCCAGGACCTGTTTTTCTGCCTCTTGAAAGACAGACTGTGTTTAGGCAGAAAAACCTCCCCAGCCCCCTCAACCATGGCCTATAGGGCAAGCAGGGGTGGAAATCACCCCTCTGGCCGTGAGCTGGGAAGTTCAGAATCTTTCAAGGGTTCGGAATGGTGCCAAGAACCAGACCAGGGTGTAGGGCCTCAGGGAATGGGGTCAGGGGTCAAAAACAGCTTGTCTGGGGGTGCCACCTGACCTTCTGCTCTGGCAGTAGCACTGTGGGTCCTGCCATAGGACCACATAGCTCTCCCTTCCTCCCACACAGGCTTTCACTGCAGCCTGGTAAAGCTGCAAGTCTGCATGCTGGGGTCTGTGTGCCAATAGATTTGAGAGGACACATTTACAGGGCGCTGTTCTCCTGACTACCTGCCCCAACTGCTGCCTCCAGAGACAGTAAATTTGCCCTGCAGCATAAAAGGCAGGAAGCTATGAAACTCTGGGAGAAGAGGAAAGGAGAGTGGCTCTTTACAGAGCGCAGTGTAAACTGGGTGGGGACAAGTCTCCAGTGCCTCCTCACACTCCACACTCTCCAAGTCGGCCCTTGATACTCATCAAAGCCATGAGAAGTGCCTCCTCTGACCCCCAAGGGCCCCGCCAGCCCATTCCCACCCCACATGCATTTCTTCTTTTGACTGTAATTCTTTTCTCCACCCATCCTAGAAGGTGAGATGTGAGCTCTGTGTTAGGGGAAAGGAAAGTGGCTTATTATGCCAAATACGGAACTCAGAGGGGAGGGGAAGGGGCAGGAGCGCAGCAGCCTGGCACAAGCATGAGGTATTTATAGCCAGAGCCAAAAGTAGTTTAGTGTGGTTTGGCAGACAATTACTAAACACAGTTGGGGAACAGGTCAAGAAAGTGCCAGGCTTCCCTGCAGGGCCCATCATCCACCATAGCAGAGGCAAGGGTCCCCAGCACCTCTTGGGGTCTAGCAATTCCTGCCAGGGTTGAGGACTCCAGTGTAAAATCCTGTCCAGCATTCTAAATTCGTCACCATCAAGTCAGTTCTGACTCATGTTTATCCCAGATGTTATAGAGTATAACTAAGCTCCACTGGGTTTTCTTGGCTATGATCTTTATAGAAGTAGGTTGCCAGGCCTTTCCTCCACAGATCTGCTGGGTGAGTTTGAACTGTCAACCTTTTGGTTGGTAGGCTAGTGAAAACTATTTGTGCTACCCAGGGACATATGCCCAGCTTTCTAAACACTGTATTATATCTTAAACCAACTTCTCAAAGAACCCTCAAGAAAGAGTTTGGATATGTGATAATTTATAGACCAACAGTATGATACGTAACACCTTTGCAAGCTCTATCTAGGTCCTGCTCTATTAGTTATTTATATACTGAATGGCTCTGTTCCTAGTGGGGAGGGACAATGCTTGTACAACTCAGTATCTCTGTTTCTCCCTTGTAGCAACCAGCCTAGTACACAAAGGAGGCACTCTGGAAACAAAATTAAACACTGTACACAAGTTGATTTTAGGTAATGGGCCAAATGAGAAGCTTGGAGATAGACTGAAAAGAGTGGAGCTTGTCTTGGAAGATACTAGGCTGAGAAGTATGGGTTTCACTGGAGAGGAGGGGACCACAGAGCTCTCTGAATAAATAAGTAGCACAAATAGATGTTGGACAAAGCAAGAAGATTCATCCATTCCTGGGTTATTTGGTACACCTGAGGTTGGAGGCAGGAGCTCTGGTGGTTCTGTGGTTAAAGCATAGGGTTGCTAACCAAAAGGTTGGTAGTTCAAACCTACCACTTCCTCTGTGGGAGAAAGATGAGAGTCTGCTTCTGTAAAGATTTACAGCCTTGGAAACCCAATGGGGCAGTTCTACTCTGCCCTACAGGGTCACTATGAATCTGAACTGACTCAGTGGCAGTGGATTTGAGGTTGAAGGTATGGCAATAAAACACCATTTATGGTGTAATACTTTTATAAACAGAGTCCCTGGGTGGTGCAGTTAATGTGAAATAGGTTGGCAGTTTGAGTCCACTGAGAGGCACCTTGGAAGAAAGGCCAGGTGGTCTACTTCTGAAAGATAAGCCATTGAAAACCGTATGGAACACAGTTCTACTTTGACACACTTGGGGTCGCATGAGTCGAAGTTAACTCAGCGGCAACTGGTATTTGTTTTCATAGGTGTTATGTGTGGTTGTCATGTAACTGGTGGTATAGTGCCTAAGGTATCTGACTGCTAACCAGAAGGTTGGTGGTTCAAACCCACCAGCCACTCCGCAGAAGGAAGTCTGGGCAAACTACTTCCGTAAAGATTTACTGCCTAGGAAAACCATTGGGGGTCGCTATGAGTCTGACTTGACTCAATGGCAGTGGGTTTGGTTTGGTTTTTGTCCTTTAACTCTCCTCAGAGTCTGAGTTTCTTAGATAAGGACTAGCTATTTGTGTCTGATTTTTATCAAGAGCGTCAGGCACCATGTGAACCAGAGCCTGGGTTGAGTAATTGAACAAATAAGAAAACTCAGCAAGGAAGTGGAAGTACTCACCTCCCTCCATGCTGAAAGGGCTCTGTAGGATAGAGAGCAATGGTTTGGGCTCCCAAGCTGTGAAACACCTTGATGATCTCTTGCAACGTGGGGCACCACATACAAATGTGCTCTTCACCTGTCAGGCCAAAGCAAGGTGAGAGTTAGAGTAGGGGGACGGAGGACACGCCACTGTTGTGGGGGGTGCTGGGCATGACAACCTCGGGATTGGATCCTCTGGCATCACAGGCACACCTGGAGGAGAAAGGAAGCAACAACTACTGGTTTCCTGCTGGACGTTTGCGAACCTGGACATTTTCTTGTCTGGTTCCCAAGGTCCAGCTGCACTGAAGTGCGAGGGCCCTAGGATGACCACCACCCTGATTGTGTAGGTTAGGTGGCCATTAGAGCACTGCCCTCTTAGAAATGTCCAGAGCTAAATGAGGTAAAAGGCCATGAACCAGAGGCCCCAAAATCATAAGACTCAAAGGACAGCAACGACATTACCCCAGGCTCTACTCCAAAAGCTGAGGCCACTAAGGACTGAGTCCACCCCTGACTTACCACCTTTGCTGTTACATCTGGGTGACATCTCTTCTATAGCCTGGAAGGTTGGCTAGGAGTGCTATTCTTTCTTGACCAATTTAACAAAACATGAAAACCTTACGTATGCAGGGCTTCTTCTTCTGTCAGACATTTAAGGACATTTTCAGAACCAGGTAAGGAGGAAAAAAATAAAAATAAAAAAACAACAATGTGGCTGAGGTGTTTTCTAAAGCTGACCACAGCAGCAACCCATCCCACATGCTCTTCTGCACTGTGACCTCCCCATGCCCTGACCTTCCCACACCCTGTCCAATCCAAAGTGGGAATCTAAGTCTCCATCCATTCTCATTCCTCTGCAGGATCTTATTCACTGATTTACTTTCTTCCCATCTGTCTCTCCCCTTGAGGATGTAAGCTCCCTGAGGGCAGGGACAACTCTGTGTGGATCATCTCTGGTACCCAGTGCCCAGGAGAGCGGTTCACATGCAGAGGGAGCTGAGTCAGTATATCAGTGAAGAGAATCCAAAACAAAGCTGATCAAGTGGTATATGACTAAGACAGAAACTGAAAACAAGTCACAAGATAGGTAAGCTAACAGCAAAAGAATGTAAATGTCTAACTTAACAAGAGATGTGTGATCAGAATCAGGAACTTGGAAACCAGGGCTTGGGATGTATAAGCAGTGTGCACATGTGAACTTCCCCATTCTGGAGGGTTCTAAGGTCCCACCTCAATTCACCTCACTGTGTGCCACAAACCAGTTGTTGCCATGCAATCAATTCTGACTCATAGCAACCCTTTAGGACAGAGTAGAACTGCTCCATAGGGTTTCCAAGGCCATAATCTTTACGAAAGCAGACTGTCAGGTCTTTTCTCTTGTGGAGCAGCTGGTGGGTTTGAACTAACGACCTTTTCGTTAGCAGCTGAACACTTAACCACCATGTCACCAGAGTTCCCTGACAGGAACCATGCCAGGTGCTAAAGATAAAAAGGTGACCCACTTGACACTGTCCTCAAGGAGCTCACAGTCTAGGAGGGAGAAGAGCCAGACAGACAAATAATGAGTGTGTCTGTGCAAAACCCAAAGCAGGAAAAAGGAACAGCACCTGTTTACAGGAGGGGAAACACTTCTACAGGTAACAGGAAGGGAAGAGCACACCCTGCAGTGGGACAGAAATGGCAAAAGGCAGGCAGGCACGAAATGGCATGGCATGTGCAGGGGCATGAAGCACATGAAGCAAGAACAAAGCACAGAAAAGAGGAGGCTAGAGTCAGGTGAGGACTTCTAGGACCACTGCAAGAGACAGTTTGTCAAGCTCATCAAGGAGAAATTGAATCAAAAGTTCCATGCCTCAAACCCACCAGCCGCTCCGCAGGAGAATTATGAGGCAGTCTGCCTCCATAAAGATTTAAGGGCTTGGAGACCCAATGGAGCAGTTGTACTCTGTCCTATAGGGTTGCCAAAAGTCAGAATTGAACCGATGGCAGTGGGTATTGCATGGCTACAGGGCCACAAGACTCTAGAATGGTGAACAGAGGGTCTCTGAAACCCATCCAAGATATTTCTTGAGCCAGTATCAAGTGTCTCTTGCTCTGGAAATGTATATGGGTTGGGGCTCACCAAACAAGTAATTAGACTCTTGGAGGAGGAAAACTTTCTTGTTCGTTTTTTTCCTCTCAGGCAACTAAACAAGTACGAGAGTGGTAATGATACCCCTTGCCCGCTTCACAAGAGAGCTGGGAAGAATGAAGTCGGCAACACACAATGAGACTCCACTCACAGGAGAGGACTGTTTACCCGGGCCTTTGGGGGACAGTGCATGTATGTGCATGCGTGTGTGGGCGGGAAGAGGAACTTTCCAGGGAGGGGAGGGCCTACGTGGAAAGAAAATCAACCAAGGGCAAGTTCAGCCCACCTGGGTGGGAAGGTCCTGCCAGCAGGCTCAGACCCCCCAGGGCGCTCTCCTCCCCCTGCCCCACACTTGTGCATCTGATGCTTTAAAGTCCCTTGGTGAGCAAGTGGCAGCACCTAACACCGCCAGCTTCCAGCCTGAGTCTGACATTTTCTGCTTTCCCTATTCCAACCCAGAATTTACTCTACACCACAGTGGAACCCTGGTCTGATGTGTCAGGGCTGGTTCAGAGGAGGGGGCTCAGATGCTTCAGGAAAAATCAGCCCCCATCAGTGGCCCTGGAGATTGGTTAAGTGATGACGATGACAGGAAAATACCATAGAGAGCCCATAATTAACACTACCTATAAGTAGGCCATGTGCTCAGCTTTTCCTCAGACTGTCCCAAATGAGGGTTTTCTGGAGAGCTGACACAGAAGAAAATGTCACACACTGCTTGGGGGTCCCTGGTGGCCTGGCCGCCAGGCTCATCTCTCTCACTCAGTTTCTCCACACACAAAACACAGTCATCCTTAGGTGATTCCCCAGGGGGGGTGCCCCAGAGGCACAGGGCCTTTTAAAATGCCAGCACTCAAAGCCTCAAGCATCTGGGCAGCAGCTCATCCCCCCACATGCCCACCCCTCTGTCTGGAGGCTGTTGAGGTCGGAAGCATCCTTTTAGATTGCTCTCTTGGGATGGAACTGATGCTTGGGGGTGGAGGTGGGGAGGCAAGGGATGAAAGTGCTAGGTTTAAAGTAAAAGTGACTTTTCCATCTGTGCCTTAGGAGAGCTGTTACTTCGCAGAAGGCTGCAGCTCTCCCAGCACCAGCACCGTGTACATGGAATGGAAAAACCACACATATCACTGTGCCAGCCCCAGCTGTTCCCCACGCCTGGCTCTTGCTTCTGTCCCTCTGCCTCCACACTTCCTCTTGTCCTCACCCACAAGGTCTCATCTGAAAGAAGGCTTGGGCCTTGTAGGTAAGGTAACAGGCACCAGGGTTCACAAGTTGTAGCCCTCTGTTCTGCAACCCCCTTCCTCAAACTCAAAGCATTCCAGGGTTGCTGCTTTGGGGAAGGCCAAGCAGCACCTGTCTGCCGGGGTCCTGATTCTCTGACGCCTCTCAGAGAGAGCATGGTATCACAGGAGGGATATCACAGGAGGGGGCATAGCTGCATTAGCCATAGTGTAAGCAGGCTACCCACCCAGCAGACTGAGAGCCCTGGTCCCAACTGGAGTGTGGGACTTACAACATTTGTTTTTGTTGGCTGCTGTCCAGCAGGAGTTGGATCCTAACTCATGGTGACCCCCATGCACTATGGAACTAAATGCTGCCTGATCCTGCCCCATCCTCAGATTGATCATGGATCAGACCATTGTGATCCATAAAGTTTCCAATGACTGATTTTCAGAAATTGGTTTTTCTTCCTAGTCTGTCTTAGGCTGGAAGCTCTGCTGAAACCCTGTTCGGCATCGTAACAAAATGCAAGCCTCCACTGACACACAGGAGCTCTGATGGGGTAGTGCCTAAGGCATTTGACTGCTAGCCAGAAGGCTGGCAGTTCAAACCCAGCAGCCACTTCTTGGAAGGAAGATTGGGCAATCTACTTCTGCAGAGATACTGCACTGGAAACCAAGGAGGGGTTGCTATGAATTGGATTCGACTCGACGGCAATGAGTTTGGTTTGGAGTTTTGGCCACTGACAGATGGGTGGTAGCTATGTAAGAGGCACACTGGCCAGGAATCGAAACTCAGGTCTCCTGCATAGAAGGTGAGCATTTTACCACTACCTCTATCACAACATTTAAGAGAGGCTTAAAATCTTATCATTTCTGATCCTTCCAAATTGAATTCCTTCCTTCCTTCAGCACTTTTGCACTGAATTTTACACTTGTTTCCACATAGCCAGCTTCAGACATTTGGCTTTAGTCATTTAAAATTTTTATTCATTCAACAAACACTAATTAATATCAAGGACTGTTATCAATGCTGGGACCCAGCAGTAAACAAAACAGCCAAAAGTCCCTGCTCTCATGGAACAACAGTTTGGCAGGGGAAGCAGACAGTACACATATGGAAAATAGATATGAAAATGATGTTGGGAGGCACAGGTGGCATGGAGAGGACAGAGGCAGAGACAGTGTGATCAGGATGCCATGGGCACAGTCCCATGACGCTACAGGCAGAGGGAGAGCTGCAGAAGCCTAACCAGAGCAACTTCTCGTTTCTCTGTTAACTGTGCAAACAATGAACACGCTCAGCTGCTAACCAAAAGGCTGGTGATTCTAGTCCACCCAGAGCGTCCTTGAGAAAAAGGCCTGACAATCTACTTCTGAAAAATCAGCCACTGAAAACCCTGTGGAGCATGTTCTACTCTGACACACAGTCATCACAAGTTGAGGTCGACTTTATGGCAACTGCTTAAGTAGCCTAGGCTACTGGAGCAGGTGGTGCAAGGCGCAGAGAAGGGGTGAGGGCAGACAGGCCGCACTAGGCTGTGCTGACTGGGGTAAGGACAGAAGGCTAAGGGAAGCAACTAGTGTCTGTGAGGAGTGACACTACCAAATGGATACATGTAAGTGGTCACAATTGGCAGCTCTGGTGGTATAGTGCCTAAGGCGCTTGACTGTTAACCAGAAGGCTGGCGGTTCAAACCCACCAGCCACTCCTCAGAAGGAAGGTTGGGCAACCTACTTCCATAGTGATACTGCCTTGGAAACCCAAGGAGGGGTCACTATGAGTCAGATCTGACTCACTGGCAGTGTGTTTTATCAAATCATATATTTAAAACGTGCACTATCATTGCCCCAACTACAGTGGAACACAGAACAAAGCCTGACTCTCTCCCCAAAACATCTTCATCCTACAGAACAGTTCTCCCAGTGGGACTCTGATCAATTCTGACAGGCATGCTCTTCTTGGCCTCTCTCCCCCACTGACTTTTTCTCCAGACCTGTTCTACCCATATCCTTTTGGGAAACTTCCTTTTGTGCCTTTTCAGTCCTGCAACCAGCTCTGCTGGCCCTTTCATTTTCCACTTTCTCGTCACTGCCCCTGAACCCGAGACCCTTCCTTTGGAACCTGTGAAAGCCTCCCTGCCTTGCTGTAACCTAGCCTACATCACTACCCCCATGCCCTCCACCACACACACACATTGTCTCCATAGCTCTCTGCCCATTTGTTCATGTAAACATGCACGTTAGGTGATGCCATCCCCAGGCTACCTCTTCTCTCTCCTTGCCTCTGTTAACTCATACCACCGCCTCGTGTCACATAACACCATCGCGTGCTCAAGGTCCCTGTGTGTAAAAGAGTCGCATTGTGCCAACCACTGAACGACCTGTACTTGTTAGAATTAGGTTTAGCTGCAAATAACTAAAAGACCAAACCAAACCAAAAAACTTGGCTTAAATCAGCTAGAATTTTTCTTCTCTCTGATGAAGAAGAAGTTCAGAAGTAGGCGATTACAGCTGGTGTGGGGATTTCACTGCGTCTATAGGATCTTGGTTGCTCATCCTCTTGATCTCTCCTTCTTAGTATGTGCCTTCTGTTCTCAAGGACCTCTTGGTTCAGAATGGCTGCTGGAGACCCAGCTCTTAACATCTCTACTCCAGACAATCACTTCCTCACTTTCCCACCTAAGTGTGCAGGTTTGGGCTGATTTTTTTAAAATATTGTCATTGTGATAAACACACCAAAACATACAGCAAAACATTAATCAATTTCTCCACATAAACTCCCGTGACACTGATTACATTCTTCAAGTTGTGCAACTGTTCTCGCTATCCCTTTCCAAATTATCCCACCATTACCATACATGCACTCTAAGCAAAAACTCCCTATTTTCCCCTCCCTCTCACCCCTGGAAGGAGCTCTGGTGGTACAATGGTTCAAGCATTTGGTTGTTACCCAAAAGATCAGCAGTTCAAACTCATCAGCCACTCTGCTGGAGAAAGATAAGGCAGTTGACTTCCGTAACGATTTACAGCCTTGGAAACTCTATGAGGCAGTTATACCCTGTCCTACAGGGTCCATATGAGTCAGAATTGAGTCGATGGTAGTGGGTTTTCTCACCCTTGGTAACCACTAATTACTTATGGTTTTGTATATTTGCTTTTCCTACATAAGTGGTATTATACAGTATTTGTCCTTCTGCAACTGATTTATTTCCCTCAGCACATCATCTTCTAGGTTCATCCATGTTGTGGCATGCATTAGGACTTCATTTCTCTTTATGCCTGAATAATATTCCTTTGTATGTATGTGCCACATTTTGTTTATCCATTCATCTGCTGATGGACTTTTCAGCTGTTTCCACCTTTTAGCCACTGTGAATTAGTGTTACAGTGAACACTGCTGTACCTATGTCTGTTCACGTTGCTGCTTTCAGGACTTTTGGGTATATATTTACACTGGGCTGTTTCTAAAGGATGCAGGGTCCTTTCAGTATGACTCAGAAAAGGAATAGCACACCACCATCCCAAGTTTAAAAAGCAAGATTTTAGAGATTGATTTAGACTAAACCAAAGAGCTTCCAGTCATGTCGCTGAATGCAGGATCCACCAGATTCTCTCTCATTTTGGATTTCTGAACCTGAGATTTTTGGGAATATTCTTGGTCTCTGGCATAAAATGAAACAAACGAGAAAGGTCCACACAGTACCCCTGGCCAGTGAGGGCTACACTACAGACTAATGGCAGCTAGCTGGTCCTGGCAGTCTAAGGATGCTGGTGTTACCCTCTGTTGGGTTGAGAAGCCAGCTGAGAATCTAAAGCAGTGGCTCTCAGACTTGTCTGCACTAGAATCACTAGGGAGCTTCAAAAATCACGGCCATCTGTATCTGAGGTGTGGCCCGGGCTTTGGAATTTTTTTTTTTTTTTTTAATTCCCAAGTGATATGCAGACAAATTTGGAACCACTGATGTAATGAAAGCACAGAGGCAACTTCACATAATCTGGCAAGTGATGAGGGTGCAGTGGGGGTGGAGGAGAAGAAGACCACAGTAGGTGGCTTCAACAAACAGCAATTTATTTTCTCACGTTTCAGAGGTCAGGAGTCGGAATTCAGGGGACCAGCTCTAGAGGGAGGCTTTTTCTCTGTCAGCCCTGGAGGAAGGCCCTTGTCTTTTTTCAGCTTCTGTTTCTTGGTTCCTTGATGATCTCCACATGGCTTCAATCTTCTCCAGTTTGTCTTTCATTGCTTCTGTGCCTAAAAGGCTCCTTTTATATCTCCGAAGTGATTGGTTTAAGGCACATCCTACACTGAAAAGCCTCATTAATATAACAAAGAAAACCTTATTCTGTACAACAGCTCATAGGTTCAAACCACTGTCCTGTGAGTTAACAGGCAAGTGCTTAACTGCTGTACTACCAAGACTCATTATCCACATGTACAGGGGTTAGGATTTACAATGTGTAGTTTTTGGGGACACAATTCAATTCATAACAGCCCCAGCTCTGCTGCCATATCCACAGTCTTGCACCTAGGCCTGCGGCTTAGTAGGTCAGGGGCCCTCAGCCCTGGCTGCTCATAGCATCACCTGGGGAGGGTTTAAAAGGTCCTGCTAGGCTGCACCCCACAGCAGCTACCCAAGGCATCATTCCTTAAAGCTCCCCTGGTGACTTCAAGGTGCAGCCACAGTGAAAGCTGCAGTGCTAGAGTCTCCGAGTTTTGAAGGGGCCCAAGGGGCCCACACACCCACCGATCAAGGCCTCAAAGACAAACATTAAGAAGTGCTCACCACGTTGAAATCAATTTAATTTATAGTCTTCCTCTTTTTAAAAGGTGGCTTGAGAGTCCTGAACAAAGAGGTGGGATAAGCCCCCGTTATTACTTGGCCTCGCTCCACTTCACCAAGAGAGTCATGCCTTGAGCCAAAGTCCTCACAATCTGATGATTCTTAGTTCTGGCTGCACATTAGAATAATTTGGGGAGCTTTAAAAAATATTAATGCCAGGTACCATTCTAAATGTGTTACAGGTACTAACTCATTTGAGCCTCGCTTGCTACCAGGCAATGCGGGGGTGGGGCCATGGGGGTTCAGTGGTAGAAGTCTCACCTTCCATGTGGCAGATCCAGGCTTGATCCCTGGCCAAGGTGTCTCAAGCACAGCCACCACCCGTCTGTCAGTGGACCCGTGCGTGCTGCCATGATGCGGAATAGGTTTCAGTAGCACTTCCAGACTAAGAGGGACTAGGAAGAAAGGCATGGCAATCTACCTCTGAAAATCAGCCAATGCAAACCCTATGGAGCACAAGATCCAATCCCCAACCAATTATGGGGACAGTGCAGGATTGAGCAGCATTTTGTTCCTCTGTGCATGGGTTTGCCGTAAGTTGGGAGCTGACTTGATGGCAGCTAATAACTGGCTGATGGAGCTGTTCTGTCATGAGTGTACTGTATAAATGCTGGGACTCAGAGGTGAGGTCAGGAGCTGAATGCAGGCATCTGCCTCCAGAGGCATGGAGAGCAGGTGGGGTAACATAAGTGCTTGTCCTTACAGGGTCAGCTCACCCTGTGTCCTGACCTTAGACGACCAGAAAGCACATCCAGGAGCCTGGGCCTACATGTGCAGCTCTAGAGCAGAAGGACCCAACAGAAACAGAAGATACTGTCAGGAAAAGATACCAAGCAATACCCACTGCCCACATGCCTTGGAACTCTACTACTCATTCATTCAGTCAACAAATAACTACCAAAGTCCTACTCTGTGCCAGGCTCAGGTAGCTGCTAGGAAACCAATCCAAAACCCACTGCCATCGAGCTGATTCTGACTCAGTGTCCCCCATTCAATTTCTGAGGCAGTAAATCTTTATGGAAATAGATTGCCCCATCTTCCTTCCACGGAATAGCTGGTGGGTTTGAAGCACCAACCTTCTGGTTAGCAATCAAATGCCTTAGGCAATGTGCCACCAGAGCTCCTTAAGAACCCAATAGAAGGCAAAAAAAAAAAAAAAAAAAAAAAAACCCGACTAAAGTGCCTGTCCTTACGGAGCTTACAGCCTAATGGGACAGATAAATTTAATAAAAGAATCCACACAAAATTTAAAAGCGCAACTATGGCTAGAGCCAGAAAGAGGAGTAAATGGGACTAGAGGGTAGGAAGAATGAACTGGGGAGCTGTAGGAGTTGGTTAGGCCAGGCTTCCCTGAGGAGGCAACACCAGAGAGACTTAGCTGAGGTCTAGAGGAAGAGAGAGACTTAAGAAGGCAAAAGCCAGGAGGTTGCTGAGGAGGGCAAGGTGGGTAGCTGGGGAAAGAACCCAGGCAGTTATTGTTAGATGCCACTGAGTTGATTTCGACTCATAGTGACCCCACTTGACAGAGCAGAATTGCCCACAGGGTTTTCTTGGCTGTAATCTTTACGGAGGCAGACTGCCAGGTCTTTCTCCCATGGAGCAGGTGGATTCAAAGCCCCCACCTTTCCGTTAGCAGCTAAGCACTTTATCATTGCAACATGAGAAAACAGCAAATGCAAAGGCCCTGTGGTGGGGGAAAAGATGGCAATAAAAGGAAGACAACAAGCACAAAGAGTGAGGATAGGTAAAATGGGCTAGAGAGGTAGGCCAGGCCAATAATGAAGGAGAGCATGAGCAGCACTAAAGTCTTATGAAGCTCAGGTAATCACTGAATAAGCTTTCCAGGTCTCAGTTCTGATTATCTGTAAAGTGGGAAAAATAACAGTATCTAGTTGTTGGATTGTGGTGGTAACAAAATGAAATCGTTTATATAAAGCCACAGGGTTAGCATACGACAGAAATTAAGGTCTTTAGAAACATTAGCTATTATTTCCCATCAAATTACTGTTATTACCATAATCAACAATATATTTTAAAGACAGGATCAATTATGAAGTTGAATTACTGGTATTGTTGCTGTCTAATTAGAGACAATGGAGGGGCCATGTCAAGCAGATGATGGCTCTCAGGAAGCTGGGCTATGGGGTGTCTTGGGTGGTCTTCAGAGTGTTTTCCCATTCATTTGGGTTTATACATCATTCACACAGTACCAGTGTGGGAATTAACAATGTACGCTTGGGTGGCAGGGGGACCTGGGATCCTAGTCTGCTTGCCCTGAGACTATTTCCTCCTCTACAGGACTAGGATAATGCACACCCCTTATGGAGATGAGGTATGAAGGGCACTCAAAATGTGGACAGAGTTAGGCCCAGGGGCTGGGCACATACAGGCACATCTTGTTTTATTGTGTTTCACTTTATTGCACTTCACAGATACTGCTTTAAAAAAAAAAAAAAAAATTGAAGGTTTGTGACAATGCTGCATTGAGAAAGTCTGTTGGCGTCATTTTTATATTAGCATGTGCTCACTTCCTGTCTGTGTCACATTTTGATAATTCTCACAGTATTTAAAACTTTTTCATAATGTTATTGCACACTTAATAGATTACATTATATTGTAAACATAATTTATTCATGCACTGGAAAACCGAAAAATTCATGCGATTCAGTTTATTGTGATACTCGCTTTATTGCTGTAGTCTGGAACTGAACACACAATGTTGCTGAGATATGCCTGTACGTGTTTCACACCATATACAAAAAAAAAAAGTGAGCTCAAAATGGATCAAAAATTTAAATGTAAGCATTAAAACTTATTTCTGAAACAACAACAACTACATACAGAAGATTTCTTCTGTAAATCTTTAAGATCCTGGATTAGGCAACTGTTTCTTACACATATGGTATCAAAAACACAAGCAAAAATGGAAAAAATAGATAAATTTGACCTCATCAAACTGAAAACTTCTGTGCTCCAAGGACACTA